TCATATTTTGTAAAGACTTTTCCCAGTAAAAATGACAACAGAGTTCTGTCTACTGAAACTAAGAATGAAAAGAAAATACCCAAAGAAAAAAATTTGTCCTGTAAGATGAAGAAATTATCTACAAAAATTGAAGAGGGATTTACATGTTGATGTAAATTCAGTATGCACAACAGAAAATAATAAGAAAATAATTTCTAGTCTTATTGTTAGGGAAAATTTTAATCCCATGACATATCCTACATTGTTTCCTTTTGGTGATCCTGGATGGACTGTTAACCTTAAGCATACATATCTTAAGCGTACTTGTAAAATAATATTATTATTTTTGTGAGATCAAAAGTCCAATAAGTGTCCGTCAAATAAAAATAAATTTTTAATTGTTCATAAAAAATTGTAGATATCGCGCGCGTTTACGCGCGTTTCTTTTAGCTAGTTTTGTAATAAAAAAAAATGTTTAAGAACAGTCACTGAGATGTGGTACTAACCCCTTAATACCAAAATATGACTTTTAACAAAAGTTACCCAAAATCCAACCACATTCGATTCAAGTAGGGTTATCCTAATTCGATAGGTTTGTAACTTATTGTTAGATGGTTTGAAAGCTAATAAAATTCTGCGTCTAAATGTATATCAAGAAATTTTTTTTCTTATATTTAGCATTTCAAGAATAAATTGTACAATTTTTCTACTTTCGTACTAATGTTTTTGACATAAATTGGAAAATCGTTTAGATTGGCCTGAAACTGGTTACTCGGGGGTTTTTGGGGTCGCTGATTACGAATGTAGTGTTGCATTTGTTTATTAACAATCTACTTATCCATAATACTTCATATAGGGCTCGTTGGATGAGGAATTACGTTAACTTTCATTTGGTAGTGTCTGAATTATGATAACTTTATTTGTTTATAAAATATTTTATTTTTTATTAACATTAAATAATTTATTAATTAATAATTTGAAAAAAACAAAGAAGAACATCTCAATAATTTTTGTAGTGAAAATACACATTTTTAACTTTCAAAAAAAACTGCTTTAAAAAAAAGTCAAAAAAATTCCTGATTTTCAAAAAAAGGGTGAAATTTTTTATTTTTTGAAAATTTTTTTGCACCATTCCACTATGGGCCAAGAGACCGAGTTGCTTGGCCAAAAGTCAAGTTTTATTTAAAATTGCCTGAAAATCGTTACTCGGGGGTTTTCAGGGTCGCTAATTACGATTCTGATGTCAGTTTTTAAAAATTCAAAATGGCAGATCCAATATGGCGGACGACTTTTATAAAAATCGATTTAATTTACCTGAATCTTGTTACTCTGGGGTTTTTGAGGTCGCTGATTACAATTCCGATGTCAGTTTTTCAAAATTCAAAATGGCGGATACAATATGGCGGACGATGAAATTTAAAATTATTAGAATTCGCTTGAAATTCTTTACTCGGGGGTTTTTCGGGTCGCTAATTACGAATTCGATGTCAATTTTTTAAAATTCAAAATGGCGAATACAATATGGTGGTTTGAGTATTCAAAAAATTATAGGATTTTTATCTACATTTGTTTCTAAATTTTTTTATATTGATGTTTACGAAAATAGAGTGAAATTTTTTTAATTTAAAATATAATTGTTTTTTTTGTTTATTTTGCCTGCAGTTAGCCTATTGTTATAGTAGTTTCCAGGGTTTACCACGGGGAGGTTGCAGTGCTATTTTAAACCCCATTCGGGGAGGTTTCTGAGTGAGTTCCCCTAGCCTCTCACATTCGGGGAGGTTTCTGAGTGAGTTCCCCTAGCCTCTCACATTCGGGAAGGTTTCTAAGTGAGTTTCCCTAGCCTCTCATTTTTCGTTTTCAAAATGAATTACATTAATCTTCAAAGTCTTCTTCTGCTGACAGTTCTATATCCTGCAAATATTCGGTAGTATTCGAAGTGTACATTTGTTCATCTTCATCTTCCATATCAAATTCAAAGTTTGAGTTTCCTTGTGGAACTTCAAGTAAATCTCCTATTTCTTTTACGAGCGAAATCTCATTTTTCTTTCTTATTCGTGATTGCAGACTAAGATTACTTATGATTGGATCGGTACTGTCCATGGATCTATAAAAAACGTCTTCAAGATTAGCTTCTCGACTGCATTTTCTTGCGTGATGTTGTCTGTCGCTCTTGTAATATTTATTTCTAGATTCGGATGCTTCCTCACCTAACATACCTATTGGCAACAAACTTGTTCTGATAACATCACCACCGTGCACAAGAATCTTATGCAAAGTTGCTGACATTAAATACCAATAATAGTGCTGAACATAAATTTTCGCCGTTAATTCACATAATTCATTAAACTTTGATGCGTCAATTGGAAGATGACATGATAAAGCAACAAGAATTTTTTTAAAATTTCGAACCATCTGCACGTTAAGTCCAAGTAATTGAGCGAATAAATCCGGATCTTGAAAAGCTCTTCTAGAGGTATTGCCGTTATTTGTACTGCCAGAACCACCAGGTTTTGGTTTATCTACAACAAGTCCTAATTTTTCCCACAAAATGTTTTGTATATATTTCTTTCTTTCTACAAACTGTAATTTGTGTTCTTTTTTTCTTATCTGACAAACTTTTAGGTTTATTCTGTATGAAATGTTTAGACAAATTTCCAAGAACTTTATCCAAGCATGAAGAGGACTTAAACCATATTGCAGCGAGTTTGGATCTGGCAAAAAAGCTCCCTTATCTTTATTGGACAAATTATTGAACATGGAAGGAGTTGCGTGACAAATAGGACAGTTTTGCATGGATTTTGTATTCGTTATAATGTTTAGAACTTTACCATCTATGAGTGTCAAAAAAGAGAAAAATGAACTTGAATACTGCGGTCATCATCTAATGCAATTTTAAGAACTTCTAGTTTGTCAATTTCTTCTTCAATGTCTTGTTTTTGCTTTAAAATAAGATCTGCTGATTCTGGAACAGATTGAATACAAAGAGGTCGACATGATTTTGGCGATTGCGATGTTCTGTTGTTCCAGAGTACTATATTTTTCCTATCAGAATTGTATAATAATCGTAAAGGAATTACAGTTGTAACAAACAGATTTCCATCACTTTGTGGCGTATTTTCTGATGCAGATTTATAAGACTGATTATACCAAGATAATCCCGAACAACCATCAAACCCCCAAGAAAACATCATCACGCTTTCTAATAATATCAAATTTGTACTTTGCCTGTACTGAACAATCACTTCAGATTGTGATTTTACAATTCTTTCTGTAGTATGGTTTAACAAAGCTTGTAGCGTGACTTTTGCAATCTTTTCAGAAATAGAAATAGTATCTTTTGGAGGGCGACATTCTCCTTTAGCAAGTCTGACTTCATTGTAAGTTGGCCAGATATCCGCACCGGATAATTTAACTTCTGTTCTCATATTTTGATAAAGAGCTTTATTAAGTGAATTGTCCAATAAAAATGTTAGAGCTTCGTCTGGTGTTTTTTTCTTAATTGACACTGGAGGTTCGTTAATTAATTTTCTAATTTTTGCAGGTTGCTCTTGACATTGCAGTATATTTTCAAGTACAAAACATAAATTAAAATTTCCAGAACGTCTGGCCGCATAACGACATGCCATAATCATTCTTTGAGGATCGTGCTTTAATCTTGCACTAATTTCAAAAACTTCTCGACGTTGTGAGCGGTAAGATTTGTCAGAAAATTCAATAGTAGGACGGCCAGATTTAGAAGATGATTGAGACTTGTTTTCCTCAATTTTAGAAATTGATATGGGAAATTCAGAATCTAACCATGTAGAATTCATTGCTTCATATCTGCTTTTCATTCTTTTCGCACTTTCAAATTTTTTCAAATTTTTACATTTCAATGAAGTTAATGAATTTTTTAATTTCTTAAGATCTTCATTTGATATATCTTTGATATTTATACTAATTTTAGATAAAATTTCAGTACAAGTAATTGTCATATCATCATTCCTTGAAATAATATCAAGAACTTCTCGTTTAGTTAATTTCGTCCTTATTAAAAAATTTTTTTTTAATAGTCATATAAAAGTATAATATTTTTATTTCAAATTACATATTTTTAATTGAAAAATTAAAATTATCCATATAGTAGCATTTAAGATGCATTACTCATGATAATCAGTTAAATAATGTCAATATGTGGTATACAGCTAAATGTTTCAATATATGCATATATTAAAGCAGATTCTGAATTCGGGCAAAAATGGGCGGATTTTTCTTATATTTTAGGATCTAATAAAGAAATCTAAAGCTTAGACAATTAAAAATCTGGTGGAGTCTCGGGGAGTTTGCTTTTGAAAATAATACATTATTAAAAATTTACAACTACATGAATATAACTATGTGGTACTTCAAAAAAATTACAACGAATTAACTTCTATTTTTATTTTTATGTCTTTGCATGAGTAAGGAGAGATGAGAAAAAAAAGATAGAGTGAATTGTTTTAATAGATTATGAAGCAAATGACTTTTATTACAAATGCATTGGATAAAATTGATAATTGATTTTCAAATTTCGCACAACTGTACATTAACAACACATTATTGTAGGACAATAAAATTTGTAGAAAAACTACTTTAGTTATAACTGATTGGAATGGTACACTTCATTTTAACCAATTCTAAAAGTGACTTTTGGCCATCGAATTTGGTCTTCTGGCCCATAGTGCATTCGAAAGAGCAGGAAAAAACCTTTTCAAAACATATAGGTCAAATTTTGTTCATTTTTCTTTTTAAAAGTTATAACTCTAAAAATTTACTTAAATTATTTATTTAAAATAATTCAACCCCTGCTTTCTCCTACAGTTTTTGAAAAAACGTAACAATACTTCGTGGTTATAGTACTCACCCCTAGGGCTAAACTATGTGCAAGTTACAGCCCGATCCGATCAATTTTTTTTTCATTTAGAACGCTACAGGAATTTTACTCCATATATAAATATCAATTATAATTAAAAAATTATATAAATATATATATATATACCAACCAATTTCTAAGTACTTCTGATGCACTGGATCATACTGCTCCCAATTTATATTTCGAAATCTGCTACGTTCTCTACTAATAGGTAAAACAGCATCACTTCTCACATGGTTCTCTGCAGCATTTGGATTTCTATAAAAAATCAAGACAATGTAATTTTTTCATATAATATATCATTAATTTTGTTGTGTCGCACACAACTTATTATATTTTATTATTTCTAAAAAAATGTTGTAATTATAATAAAGGAGTCGGTATCAAAACTACACAAGAATTTTCATAAAAAAGTTATATTGTACAAAACATAAAATTGTTATTTTTTACATTATATTTTTTTAATGTTGTTTTTATTTTTTGTTAATTTTAACTTTTTTGTAAATGAAAAAAATCTTTTTTTTAATTTGTTATTTTGTACTGAATTTTTTTTGTTTCTTCTTAACGTTATTTTTTACATAATTTTTTTAGTTATTTTTTACATAATTTTTTTTTGTTATTTTCTACATATAGAAAAAAATATTTTCGTTATTTTTTTGGGGCGGTTTGAGGTGCCCACAAACTAAATGCATATATTAAAACTGTATATAAACTGCATTTACAAGTATCACAGAGAGAAATAGATGGTACTGTATAATATCTAGATAGTACCAGGTACCATATTTCATCTTACATATACTAACAGCTATCTAGATTCTATCAGTTACTATCCAGGTTGTACGGAGTAACATCTTGATGGTAGTGGGTAACATATCCACACTTTTTGTAACATCTTTGATAGTACCGAGTAGCATAAGGGGGGGGGGTAAGGTTAATTCCATGAAAAAAATGCATATTTTTACGAATTTTTTTTGGCTATACAGAAAGAGTTAATATATTTATTAAATTTGTATATAATACACGTGAAAAAGAATAACGTTGGATTAATACCGTTTTCCGATTGGTTCAACGGCAAGGAGCGCTGTAGGCAGTGTCTGTTGGATCAACTTACTTGTAACAATAGATTGACAGTAGGTTCAACAGTAAAAGTCTGTTGAATCAATGCCGAAATCGTGACAAGGCCCACTGACGTTGAACCAATCGGAAAACGGTATTAATCCAACGTTTCTCTTTTTCCCGTGTAGTACAACATTTGAACAGTATTTCACCAAAGTTTCATTGCAAAATATTGAGAATTGATCGAGTGACAGTACACTACCGTCCGAAATTGTGCGAACTCTGCTTTTTCAACAACTATAAAACTGTTCAAATCTTCAAAAATATTAAAACTAAAATTTTGTCCTCTTTATTTTATTAAAGTTAATAAAATTCTGAAAGAAATGACACCTTGACAAAGAGAATATGTTAATTTTTCAATTAGATATCTAAGAAAAACCCAATTTTCAATGTTTTTACTATTTTTTTTATTTCTCTGGCAAAAATTAATATTTTTAAACGTTCTTAGGCTCATTGAAATCGTATTTTGTTATGCAATTCAAATTATATAAAACAATTCATGTACACATTCTTTCCTAGCGTATGCAAACCATGAAAGTTGGCTCATAAAATGTCAAAAAATTTAAATTTAATTCTACAATAAAATATAATGTTTAAAAATCAAGTAAATATATCATTCTAAACTTCTCTGATTTATGTAAGTAAATTTAAGATTTATACATTTTACTGATCATTTTTTGTCATATAAATATTAATCACAATTTTTTGACATTTTATGAGCCAACTTTCACGGTTTGCATACGCTAGGGAAGAATGTGTACATGAATTGTTTTATATAATTTGAATTGCATAACAAAATACGATTTCAATGAGCCTAAGAACGTTTAAAAATATTAATTTTTGCCAGAGAAATAAAAAAAATAGTAAAAACATTGAAAATTGGGTTTTTCTTAGATATCTAATTGAAAAATTAACATATTCTCTTTGTCAAGGTGTCATTTCTTTCAGAATTTTATTAACTTTAATAAAATAAAGAGAACAAAATTTTAGTTTTAATATTTTTGAAGATTTGAACAGTTTTATAGTTGTTGAAAAAGCAGAGTTCGCACAATTTCGGACGGTAGTGTACATTTCCTCTGGCTCCCCCAAAAAAAGTTATTTTGCGGTGTTCACTGTAACTCGCAATAGAATCATCTAAAACAAAAGAATCAAAATGGATTTGTTAAAGGAGATGTTTTTCTACTGGGAGGTTTTTTTTTTATTTTTGAATTTTTTGTAGCACTTTGAAGCCAAAAACCCGATTTTCTCTATAAAAAGTCAGCCTGGTTTTGGCTTCAAAGTGCTACAAAAAATTCAAAAATAAAAAAAAACCCTCCCAGTTGAAAAACATCTCCTTTAACAAATCCATTTTGATTCTTTTGTTTTAGATGATTCTATTGCGAGTTACAGTGAACACCGCAAAATAACTTTTTTTTGGGGAGCCAGAGGAAATGTACTGTCACTCGATCAATTCTCAATATTTTGCAATGAAACTTTGGTGAAATACTGTTCAAATGTTGTACTATTATATAAAAATTTAATAAATATTAATATTAATATATTAATAACTCTTTCTATATAGCCAAAAAAAATTCGTAAAAATATGCATTTTTTCATGGAATTAACCTTACCCCCCCCCCATAATGATGGTACCGGATAACATCTACTTTTTACCACCTTAAGATCATAAATTCTTACCATCTATTTCTCTCCGTGTATTCAAATGAATTTTATCATTAATCATATGCAGTTTAAAGTTAGGGACAGTTGGGGTAAATGGGGACAAAATTCCTATTTTTCACAAATTAATTAATTTTATGCAGCAGAAATAAATTTAGATAAGCTTTAAACGCATGAAACTGACTGTCCCCATTTACCGTAAGATTTTAAAAAAAATTTTAAATTTGGTGTAAATGGGGACAGCATATTTTCTAAGAAAGGTTTAAGAAAAACGTTTCCTTAAGTATATTACTGTATTAAGGAATAAAAATACTTGAAAGAAATTTTTAACAGGGTGGACGAACTTAAATTTTTTTTATAAATTGATTACATTTGCTTAATTGATATCTTTTATTATTTTTTTTATTTAAGTATTTTGTCTCGCATTTCAAAGAAAACAGACTTAAAAATCATATAAAATTTTTTTCTTATTTCCTTAACAAAAATCCACTTGAATTTTTTTTTTGTCGATTTGGTTAATAATAACAAGTTGTCCCCATTTACTCCGAGTTTTTAAATTTTTAGGGTTATTATTAACCAAATTGACAAAAATCAAAAATTCAAGTGAATTTCTGTTATGGGAGTCATAAGGAATAAGAAACAAATTTTGTATGATTTTTAAGTCTGTTTTTTTTCAAATGCGAGACAAAATACTGAAATAAAAAAAATTTAATTGGTTCAACTATTATATATATTATATCTACTACAAATTTTTTTCAAGTTTTTCCATCCCTTAATACAGTAATATACTTAACGAAACGTTTTTCTTAAACCTTTCTTAGAAACTATGCTGTCCCCATTTACCCCAAATTTAAAAAAAAAATTAATCTTACGGTAAATGGGGACAGTCAGTTTTATGCGTTTAAAGCTTATCTAAATTTTTTCTGCTGCATAAAATTAATCCTGGGAATGTAAATAATAACTTAAAAAATAAATCCGCAAATATTACCTTTTAAAGGAAGAAACTTAAGTAATTTGTGAAAAATAAGGATTTTGTCACCATTTACCCCAACTGACCCAAACTTTAAACTGCATATGAATTAATGTTAAAATTCATTAATTGTACTTGTAAATGCAGCTTATATACAGTTTCAATGTATGCATTTAGTTTGTGGGCACCTCAAACCGCCCCAAAAAAATAACGAAAATTTTTTTTCTATATGTAAAAAATAACAAAAAAAATTATGTAAAAAATAACTAAAAAAATTATGTAAAAAATAACGTTAAGAAAAAACAAAAAAAAATTCAATGTACAAAATAACTAATTAAAAAAAAAATTTTTTCATTTGCAAAAAAGTTAAAATTTACAAAAAATAAAAACAACATTAAAAAATATAATGTAAAAAATAACAATTTTTATGTTTTGTACAATATAACTTTTTTATGAAAATTCTTGTGTAGTTTTGATACTGACTCTAATAAAGCATACTTAAGCGGCAGAATAAAAATTAAATTTATAATCACCTAGACTAAAATAAGAATTTCGAAAATTGAAACGAACACAACACCACATTTACAATACTAAAATAAACTAGGATTATCTGTTATTTTCAATTTCAAAGGAATTAAATATCGATCTTTATGGATAGTAATATTCTTAGGTTTTTTTCTTGTAATCATAAATTCGCTCTTCTAAATTTACGGGTGTAATTTAGAAAAAGCTGTTTAAAATGTATCTATCTAATGAAGTAAAGATCGTCTTAATCCTCAGGATTAGGATCATTGTTTGAAAACCGCGTTAAAATAAATGTGCGGAAAAAACAAATTTTGAAACTTAATTCCTGTTAAGGTGTAAAATCACCTAGAGCACATAAGAAATAAAGTCAATTTAAATAATTTATTTTAAGAAAACGGTAGAGTAAAATAATGTTGAAGGTTTTTTAATATAAAACACATGTATTCAACTAAAACAAAACATAAATTTTTTTTCAAAATGGCGCCTTTACATCTGTTCAACCAAAATCACGTTTTTTAAAACAGCATCAACGAGCGGAAGGTTTTCTATTTTCCATTAGTACCTAGACAAAAAATTGTAATGAATTATGAAAGAAGATGTTATTTGTTACAGAACTACGTAGAATATTTAAAAAATATCGATTTTTCTCAAAATGGCTACAGAATAGAAACGCAAGAACCAATTTAAAACATCCCACGTACTTCCCTAAGAAATAGTGCCCTGAAGGAGCAGTCCAAACTTTAAGTAAATCCGTTAAAAATTGTGGGAGTAATCCTTCCGCCTATTTTGAAAAATCTTGTTTCGTGGAAAAAGAGTTATGAAAACATAAGTTAAAACTTTAAAAAGTTGAGCTACGCTTACAAAACTTACTACTCGGAGGTTTTTTGGTGTGCGTTGATTACGAATCCGATGTCAGTTTTTAAAAATTTTAAATGGCGTATCTAATATGGCGGACAACAAAATTGAATAAGGTGTAAATTTAGATGTT